TAATTCTCAGAAATAAGGCTTTCATTAAGGAGAGAATCTATAGATCACTACAGGAATATTAGGCATCGTTTAGCCRGGCCCTTCTTGTGAGCGACCTGTGTTTACCAGACCTGCCTTCCTTGGCCTGCAGGACCTGCTTTTCCTTTAAAGACAGCCCAGAAGTTGTGTGTACAAATACCTTCCAAAGCCAAGGGCACAGCTTGCAGAATCCCCCTTAATATCTTTTCCACAGTTGGGGTAGAAATGGAAAGTCTAGGGGCGCCCAGGTAGAAGCGGGCAGGTACAGTGGTGGGAACGAAGGGCTCTGGCAGCTTAGCGGCCAACCTGTTTTATTAGTGCAGGTTTTTCTTGCATCAGTCTCAAAACAGTGTGTTCCTGGTTACACTTGCGCATGCACACGTGTATGTGGTATTTTATTTCTGTGCTAAAAGGCATTAAAGGCTGTATTTACACCAGTGAGCATGTACAGCAGTGCACATTTTTCATATTTTTCAATCACTGCCAACATTGCTGAGACATAAAGACCCGAGACACCCATCTGGCAGAGGAGAAACAGGAATATTTCCAGTTGGAACTGGAGGACTTAGGAGGATAAAAATCATAAAGAAGCATAAATAACTATGTGGGTTTTTTTTTTTTAAAAAAAAAAGGAGTAGAAAAGCCGATATGTTCTTTTCCAGGCGCAGTGGCATTGATTTTGCTCCAGCTGGTTTTCCTCAGCGCTTTTGTGAGCAGAGGGAGCTGGCGGGAGGCGGCGGCACCTTCGCGCCGGCGGCTCGAGCACCGCTGCTGCTTGCCGTGAGCGAGCGGCCTTGCTGCGCCGCTTCCCCCTCTGCTGACATCTGCTAGCCGAGGGGATGCTGCCACAACGTGCTTCCCGTGGAAAGAGTGGGAAAATCTTTGGAATATTGCAGCTGGGCGCGCCTCCCGTGGCAGTGCCTTGGAGGGAGCAGGGAGGACGTGGCCTTGCAGAGGGAACCCAYGGGGCCGGGCAGCCTGCGAGTGGGCAGGTGAGAAGCTGGGCTTTGTAAGTTTGCCCTTATGGTAAACCAGCATTTTGTTAACACTAAAATATCGTYTATTAGCAGTAAGTAGGAAAAGGGAATGTTGCATTTCCTAAGATCCCAATTGCTTCTTAATTCACAGACAGGCTTTAGTTCAAGCAACCCAGTTAGAATTTTTCATGGCTTTTTTCTTTTAATAGCAATAATTTTAATGGAATGAGRGATCTGGCAGAGCCCAGAACCTCTCTCGCGGTCCCTGCTGCTCCGAGCCAGGGGGTTTCAAGGCGTAGCGTTTTCCTCTCCTAGGTTTTACTGTGCACCAAAGGCGGATCTGGAGGCGGCAGCGTTTCGGTGCTGTGTGCTGCGGAGAAACGCGTCAAACTGGGGAGTTCGCTAGGAAATGCTGTTGGATGAAGTCACCCTGTGCGTGGCCACCTCTGCTCTCTACGCAAAGGATCCACGATGGTTACTGTACCCTGCTAGTAGCAATTTGGAGTAATTGTATTTCACTTGGTATCTCACAAAATGCTATTCAAGAACCTGAGGAAAATATTGAGCGCATCCTGCTCCCGTTTTGCTGCATGCGGATACCCGTAGCTCCCGCTTTCTGTTGTGTCCCCAGAAGGTCAGGCCCAAAGCGCAGCCTTCTCGCTGTCCAACCGCTCCGGGAACCGCTCGCCCAGGAGCCTCGCGCTGCAGCAGCAAGACCCGGGTGTCCCCACGGACCGGGACGGTGACGTGGAGCTGTGTGACCCTGGTGTCCCCACGGACCAGGACGGTGATGTGGAGCTGTGTGACCCTGGTGTCCCCACGGGACGGTGATGTGGAGCTGTGTGACCCTGGTGTCGCCACGGACCGGGACGGTGACGCTGGGCTGTATGAACCCTGGTGTCTCGTGCAGGCCGGGCTGGTGACGCTGGGCTCTATCAGGCACCCTCTAAGGGGCTGCACGGCWGCGGGCACTCGAGCAGCATCGTTTTCTGGCTGTCATTTGCCTGGGAAGTAAAAGCAGCTTGTTAGGAAGGAATCACAGGCCCGGGCACACGAGCGGCGCGTCGAGACCAGGGCCGCGCTGCCGAGCGCTTGTCAGCGGCGATGCAAAAGTGCCTGAGAGTAGGACTGAAAATTAAATAGAACTTGTAGTTCCTGGGCTTTGGCTTTATCTTTGTTTTACTGAGAAGATGCTTGAAGGACAGGAAGAAAATTAATTAAAAGATGCAAATATGCTCTTTTTCTGAGTACAGTCCTGAAATTTCTCCTGCAATTGTCGATGCTACTGGAACCACCTCCGAAATGCAGTTGTGAGCCRTGCTGGAGGTGTTTGGCATCGGCACCACCCTGCGATACGGTGAAGAAGAGAGGAAGGAGCGCGCAGGGGCTCGGGGGGTTCCTGCCACGCGGAGGCACTCGCTGCAGGAGCGGAGGGGCCGGCTCCCTGGCTGCCCGTGCGGCTCTGCCGCTCCACGAGCCCCGGAGCAGGAGGATCCCAGGATCCCGCACCTGCAGCCTGAGGGTGGTGGGGAAGAGGCAGAGCTGTAGCAACCTCCTGCTTGCCATTAGAGGCCAGGAACGCCAGGGAAATGGGTAACTGCCACTGGCTGTAGAAGCCCAGCCATCCCTCCCCACTGGGGCATTTGAAGTCCCCCTTGCCATTCGGGAAATATCCAGTGGTAAGGGTGATAAAATAGCGATCTGTTTCTASAGTAGCATGTAACTCCTGTGGCTAGCAGCTTAAAGCACACATTTCGCTGCAGTTACTAGCATTGCAGCTGCGACACAGAATGTTTGTTTTCCACGTGGCCTTTAGCAGCAAACAGGCCCAGGGGCAGAGCGGGGTTGTCTGGCTCTGGGGGCCGAGCCGTCTCCCAAGCGCATCCCAGGAACATCCTGAACCGTCTCTCGGGCACATCCCGAGCGTCTCCCAGGCTCATCCCGAGACGTCTCCCAGGCGCATCCAGAGCATCTCCCAGGCTCGTCCTGAGCCGTCTCCCAGGCGCATCCCAAGCCATCTCCCAGGCACATCCCGAGCTGTCTCCCAGGCGCATCCCGCGCTGCCCCCAAGCCCGCCCGCTTCCCAGCGGGAAGCTGCTCCCGCCGGGAGCCCCTGCGCGGGGCCGCGGGCAGCTCTGGCTCCAGTGTTTGGGCTGAGCAGCAGCAGGAGCTTCCTGGTGCTTAGGYAGCACGCTAAAAAAAATCTTTACTTTAAAGGATTAGCATCAATTAGAACAGCTTTGTTTTAAGTAACAAAGCGCACTGACCCCCTTGAGGACTGGGGTATTGGAACACGTCTGCAGCGGTGAAGAGAGCAACAAGTGTGCTGGTCCCTATTGATTTTCCACCTTTGTATTACCCAAACATTCTCTATTGACAGGTATTACTGGCTTGTTAAGTGCTAAAGAGTTTGATGGATCTAAACCTCGGATCCTCTAATTAATTGCCCTTCCAAATTTTCCCACTAAGCACTAAGTAATATATTAAAGACCTGAGTTTGGGGCTCTGGTTAAGTTCCCTCCCTGTTTGCATGATGCAGAATAAATTCATTAATGCATTAATGCACAGTTTGTTTTTAACGCCGTGTATTGTCTTGGTAGCTCTTTGTAGGCCTGCGTCTCCTGATGTGCCCTGGGCTTGGCCGGAGGGGCACTTGGCTGCTCCCCAAAGCCCGGCCTTTCCGAAACCCTAAAACGAGGGCACTTGAGGCTGTGCCCAGAGCTGGATGCTCCGCTCAAAGGAGCGGCAGTGGCACAAATGAAAATGCCCCTTTTCCCCGGCTCCAGGGAAGCCGGAGCAAAGCACGTGAGCATGGGGAAGGCCGAGAATCCCAGGAATTCTGCGGTGCTGGGATCCCCGCTGCGGCTTCCGGAGAGCCAGCAAAACCATGGACAAGTGGCAGTGTCTCGGCGGGGTTGGATTTTGTGAGGACTTTGTGCAGGGCAGGAGGTGCCGGGATGGGGATGGGCATGGGCATGGGGATGGGCATGGGGATGGGCATGGGGATGGGGATGGGGATGGGGATGGGGA